TAAAACGCACGTGCTGGGCTATTGTTCTGCCAATTAGATCTATTGTTTATCCACGTTCTCGTTGCCGTCGCCGTCGGGGTTTGCTTGAAGTCCCTATTATTCTTCGTGAGGGTGCTTTCCGATCATTCAATCGATCAAACAATCAATCACTTTATTTAAGAGTTAATGATGGTATCTAGCCAATGGTAAAACCCTCTACTAACTGGGAACACTTAATTAAAGTAAATAAAATAACGGAAGACACGATGATTTGCGGTCGCGACAGGACTTGATGACATCGCGGAAATTTGCGACTGCCGGGAATTTCTCGACCACTAATTTGTCTACTTTTATATTGGTTTTTTTTTCTTTTGGAAACATGACTGTGTCCCTTGTTAGCAAACAGTTAAAAATTAAAATTTCTTTGAACGAGTCGGTAAAGGACCGGACAAGATGTCCGGCAAACCAAGGATTTGTCCGGTCAGTACCCAATTTTGACCGGACATTGTCCGTTGACCGGCCGTTATTTGCAGCCCTGGGTGTGGCGAAGAGAACATTAATTTTCTTTGTTTACTTGAAGGTCTCATTTTTGTTCTTACGTTGAAGAGAATCAGTCAATGTTGATTTGCGGTTACTCATGTAACGCTGAAGTGCTCACTATTCTAAAAAGTTATCACTTCTTTATTGGCCAAAGACAAGAAACTGTCTTATTTTCTTTTGTTAGGGACCTCTCATGCTTCACACGTCCAAACAGTACCCTTCCCAAGATGCCACAGCTTTTCACGTGTTTGGACGAGTCATAAGTGGAACAAGTAAGTTAGACTTTCAGCCAGATACAATAGGCTACTTTGAAAATACCGTCAAGGCTCTTTATAGGTATTTTTAGTTAGCCCGATTCTACCCCTAAAGTCTTGCGTCATGACTCTGTTACAATCTTGCTATTTTCCCGGTAGTTTATGCTGGTCAACAAGCTCGAATACTCGGCGAGAACTACACTATAGAAGACGAGGAGGACTCACGCGTTGGAACGGTGAGAACGAATTCTTATTTGAGCTGAGTACCCGTCGGTGTATTTTGTGAAAGAGAAATTATTTTTAATTAAGCTTGCTTTTGTGTCCCGTAGGTTGGAAGGTTGTGGATCGCCGAAGCAAGGTAGCGTTGCAAAAGCCGCCGTTGTGGCGTCAGAGCAGAGGAACGTTTAGATTAGATCTCGAGTTAATTCAGAGAAGGATTGAAATTGACGATATTATTAAATTAATGCTTTTTAACTCACGAGCTGTACTATTCGACGACATCCGTTCCTTGAAATAAGTTTGTGTAAAATGTCGTCGTTTTAATGCTCTTAATTCTTGTACATATTAACCAACTGGTTTTTTTTTTTTTTTTTTTTAGTATGGGGGCGTGTTAGTGGGTTGGGTTTTAATTTTGTCTGCTTTTAAGGGATAGGGTAAGGTGATTTACCTGGTAAGGGACAACCTTGTTCTATTGTAAATTTACCTGCCTTTTGCAAATTGTTAAATAGATGAATAGATAAATAAATAAATAAATAAATAAATATTCCTACAGGTACAATGTTGAGGTTAATCGCGTACCAGCTGGAAACTGGGTACTAATTGAAGGAATCGACGAACCTATTGTCAAAACATCAACCATTACTCAAGTACAAGGCAATGACGAGGTTAGTTAATTGCCACAGAGACCTTTGATATAAATCTCGTGATGAAATTGAAAATTTCGAGGGCGTTTTTTTTTGCTATATTTTACGTGATTCTCTTTTTTTTCAGGCGTACATCTTCAGACCGTTGAAGTTTAATACATGTTCCGCCGTAAAGATCGCCGTGGAACCTCACAATCCTTCTGAGCTGCCTAAGATGTTGGACGGTCTGAGAAAAGTAAATAAGAGCTATCCCCTGCTTACTACAAAGGTAAGATATCTACAAACACTTTCTTACCACGGTCAAAAGATACGACATTTTAGGAAAGCTTACATTATTTCTAGTGTTTTTTTTTCCGCTAAGTTCTTTAGGATCTGGCCGTGCACGACAATCTGTAGAATTCCAATCATTTTTTACTGACTGACCAATAGAAACTTACCATTTATATGTTCAGTAAAAATGTGTGAACACGCTCTTTATATTCTATTGGCGACGATTGCCCCCCCCCCCCATTTCCCCTTAAAACCATTTGAGCCCCCCCTGAGTTCTCCGACAGACCCCACCCCTCCCTCCAGGGGATGGGTGGATAATGACTGGTCCCTAACACGAGTCGGACTTCTCCTCGAGATGGCCAAGTGTGTCGAGGGACGTTTTCGTTCGTCTCTGATTTTATTTTCTTTGCTCTGCAAGGAACAGGTTTAACTGGTTCTTAATCCTGTTTGTCAGGTTGAAGAGTCAGGAGAACACGTGATCCTCGGTACAGGAGAGCTTTATTTGGACTGTGTGCTGCACGATTTGAGAAGGATGTACTCTGAGATAGGTTGGTTTTTGGCCATATTTGTTTTCCTCCGTGTGTTCAAAAAAATGTGTCCTCTATGAAAATAGTGGTAGGAGTCAGCGCGAATGAAAACGTTTTGGAGAAACTGTGAAAGGAAACTGTCACTGTGTTTAATTTTCAGATATCAAGGTCGCTGATCCTGTTGTGGCGTTCTGTGAAACTGTCGTGGAGACGTCATCACTAAAGTGCTTCGCAGAAACGCCAAACAAAAAGTGAGATTTCAGTGTAAATTTGTTTGGCGTAGATGTAATAAGTTTTTTTTTTTCTACTTTTCGTTTGCTACGCTTTTTTGTAAATTGTTCAGCTCAGTGTGTGTCAGTTCTGCCGCATTTGATTCTGACTCTTTTATTCTCACGCACTCTGTGTTGGTTATTCCACGGAAAGTGCTCACGAACGATTTTTATTCACGAATTGCGATGTATAAAAAAGTACCCAAGGAGTGGGCGCAGCGAACAAGTGAGTTTTTTGATGCATCGCAACGACTGAATGAAAACCGTTCAAGCACTTTCCATGTTATGATGCTTTTATTTCATACATAGTGGGTTTTGTCTAACTGACCGACGAATTTCAAAGATTGGAAGCAAACGACTGTGAAAATACGTCGTTTGTCCAATCAGAGACACGAATGATAGTACTTTACAGTGTAAATCTCAGTGTTTATGAAATATGTTTTAACGCATGCAAAGAGCAAAGAAACAAAAGGGAAACGAATCATTTCCTGCATTTTTATAACATATCTTTTTGTGTATTTTAAGGAACAAGATCACCATGATTGCTGAACCTTTGGAAAAAGGCCTAGCCGAGGACATAGAAAATGAAAAAGTTTTAATTACATGGAACAAGTAAGTCCAACAGGGATAACGACAACGGCGAGAACAACAGCACCAACAACAACAACTACAATAATAATAATAATAATAATAATAATAATAATAACAACAACAACAACAACAGCGACAATTAAACACTATTGCTTCACTCAGTAAGCACAATAATTTAGCAACAGTGAAAGCCCATTACAGTCCCGAAGTTTAGTTTAAGATGTTTCTTGGACGGTAGGATTTGACTTTCCATCTTTCACCTTTACAGGAAAAAGCTTGGAGAATTTTTCCAAACTAAGTACGACTGGGATTTGCTGGCAGCACGTTCCATCTGGGCATTTGGACCTGACAACTCTGGGCCAAATATTCTTGTGGATGATACGCTTCCGTCTGAGGTAAATCCTTCAGGAACTGAAAATTATATTGCTTTCTAACTGCATTTTCATCCCATGTACTAGCGGCGTAATATAATTGATGTTCTTCTTGTTTAATGTTGTGACCCACTCGCTCGCGGAATAATTACGTTTGGCTCAACATTTGTCCTATGGTGACAGAATAATTCTTAGTTTATGTGACAAATGTTTTTCTTCTGTTTTCAGGTGGACAAAAGTTTACTCAACACTGTGAAAGATTCCATCATTCAAGGATTTCAGTGGGCTACGAGAGAGGGCCCGCTCTGTGATGAGCGTAAGTCTGCTTTTCGTTTCCCCTGATGTGATAACACTTTCCAGCGGAAGCTATTGGTCACATAAAAGCACTTTTTTTTTTCGGATAGATAGGGTAGATGATAATTTTCAAGTTTTCTACGTTTGTAACTTGCTGATTTTCTGATGAATTTGTTCTTTTAGCAATAAGAAATGTGAAGTTCAAGATCCTGGATGCAGTGATCGCTGGTGAACCAATTCACAGAGGAGGAGGGCAGATTATTCCTACAGCCAGAAGAGTGGCGTACTCTGCATTTTTGATGGTGAGCAATAATAACGTCTTAAATTCCACCCACTGAGCCAGCGACTTTCGGAAGAGCCATATTACAAACGATGCAATTTCTTCCTATGACGTCTCATTGTAGAAATCAATATCATACTTATCCAACGTATGTTGTATTTTTCCAGGCCACACCTAGACTGATGGAGCCGTATTTCTTCGTTGAGGTCCAGGCTCCAGCTGATTGCGTTTCCTCGGTATACACCGTGCTAGCTCGTCGAAGGTAAGAGTTACAATCAAGAAAATAATTTTAAATATTAGCGACAGAAGGATTCCTTGTGCTCTTTAACGTATTTAGTGTCGCTTGATTCAAGTCGGGTAAAAATCTGTTTGGGAGGCAGAATTTATTCTTTTGTTTGGTTTTGTTTTTTTCGTCGTTTTTAGGGGTCATGTAACGCAAGATGCACCAGTTCCTGGTTCTCCACTGTACACAGTGAAAGCTTTCATTCCCGCTATTGACTCGTTCGGATTTGAGACTGATCTGCGGACTCACACCCAAGGGCAGGCGTTCTGTCTGTCAGTATTTCACCACTGGCAGGTAAGCGGGACTATGTACAAGTTAAATTTCTTCATCTTCGTGGGCTGATCACAGAGCAGTAACTCAGGAACAATTATCGTTGCTATCAACCACGGTTTTGGTGAAATTATAACGTCACATTTCCCGTTGTCTTTTTGTTCTTTTATCTCACGTAGCATTGTTTTGCGTCACTTAGTTCGTCTTGT